CACAATTTGTTCTTGACAAATTCATGCTGGCTATTTCTTATACTCCTATTATCCTCTAGGTGCTTACAAACTGACTGTTCAATAATTTGTTCCACTATCTCTCCAGATATTGAAGTTAGGATGACTGGTCTCTAATTCCCCGGGTCCTCTTTGTTCTACTTTTTAAAGATACGTATTATGATTTCCCTTCTGCAGTCCTCCAAGACCTCAGCCATCTTCCTTGAGTTCTCAAAAATAATTGTTCACCTTTCCGAGATTGCTTCAGTTAGCTAGGCTGAATTGCATTAGGCCCTGCTGACTTTAATACTTATATAAAAAATCCTTTAACCTAATCTTTCCCTGTTTTGGTTTATGTTCCTTCCCCCTTGTTGTCAATATTAATGATGCATACCACAAAACTTTCCCTTGCCACACAATTCACTCCTTGAGAGTTTACTTTTACGTGACAGGTCTCTTCTGTGAAGCAGTTGGTATGATAGATAGCCAGCTTCGCACATGGAGTAGTGGGTCCCACCAAGTGCCAGATGGATAGCTGACCCCTCATCTCCAGTACAGCAGGTAGGTGTCAACCAGACCCAATAGTCCTTTCACATGGGCCCTGTATTTTACAGTTTAAAGTGCACCCTGGATCTTCCCTGCTATCTGTACAGTGGAATTAGTCTCATGATACACCCCTTCTCTTTAAGATCAGCTGTGATTTTACAACCTGATGGTGTACTATCAGGAGTAACTTGTGGGACAGCTTTAGGGTGCCGTTACATTTGACATTATTGTTCACTGTTGCCCACTGGAAAGATTACTAAGACCCACTGGTACTTATCAACTGTGTCATCTTCAAGGATTTGGCCACAAGGTGGCTCCTGAGAAAGATTTCCACTGGAGTATGTGTGGACACCATTAATGTGATGCCTTTGTGGGGGTTTTCTGTTTTTGTTTTCTTTTTTAAACTTTCATAGTTCTAGTTTTGTTCTCAAGAGGGGAAAATGTTCAGGCCAGCTCTTACTGTATCACAACCTGTTAAAAGAAAAGGAGTACTTGTGGCACCTTAGAGACTAACAAATTTATTTGAGCATAAGCTTTCATGAGCTACAGCTCACTTCATCGGATGCACTCATGAAAGCTTATGCTCAAATAAATTTGTTAGTCTCTAAGGTGCCGCAAGTACTCCTTTTCTTTTTGCGAATACAGACTAACACGGCTGCTACTCTGAAACCTAACAACCTGTTAAATCATTAATAATTATTAAGCATGTAACTTTGGATTGCTAATAATATAAACAGGCATACTCAATGTTGGCCTCTCAAAATTGATCTACAGATTCCTCATCAAGAATTGACTCTGTAGGTTCCCACTCTTGGGTAGAACTCAACACTACGAATCTGGAACTGTCTAGATTGTTCCAGCCACATGTACATTCTTACACAGGCCTGACTGACTGATATGAAATGATATGAGTTTGCAGCACCAATGTACCTCTCAAATCAGCAGCTGTGTTTGTGTCTGAGACATGGAAAGGTCCCATTGAATCTTTGGATGGGCAGGGAGAGATGAAAGTGAGGATATCCCTGAGCTAAAGGAGAACCTTAGAAGAACACTCCCACGGTCTCCTACTAAACACAGTCCACACATTTAGGCTACAAAAACATTAGTTAGAAGATATGGTCTCAGTGAACAAAGATTTATTTATCTCCATAAAAATGATCAAAACCAATTTAAAGATTAAATACATGCGGCACTATGCTCTGTAATTGGAGGTAATATCCTTTGAATTTTTTCTCCTATTGTCTACCAAATGAAATTTTGTATCTGCTCATTGCTCCATTAGCATTTCCATAGCTTTTGAGAGATGCTGGTTTGTACTCTCTTTAATTGCTTTTTCTAAGACCTCATATTATTCCTAGTTCACTCAAATCCATTTCCAAACTAATGCAGTTTATTAATGTGCTGTATATTTGGCATAGCAAGCAGCAGCATGTCAGGTTTTCCAAAGCACTCTGGGAAATAATCTGAAGCCCCCAAACCACACAAGATCTTCCATTGTTTTTCATTATAGAGGATAATAAGTTTGGCATCCATTATAGTGCTTTAATGGATTTTTAAACAAAAATGGAAGCAACATTTACAATAATTTTTCAGTGGCTAAATCATCACTCAGTGTATTTGTTGTAAAAGCATTTCTCTTCCCAAAATTTTTCAAATATTTTCCCCATACCACTTCAGGATGATGCTGAGACCTTTCAATATTTGTCATAAAAAACAAGAGACATCCACCACAGACTCCAGAATAGCTAATAGCTGGTGATTAGGGCACTTCCCCTGGATTTGGCCACCCACATTCAGGCAGAGCAGGGCTTAATTTGGAATAGGGACTTGATTCCAGGTCTCCCACTGTGATGCACTTATCTCAACATAGCACCTAAAACCTTCATAATCACCACTGTGATATGATTATGGCATGTTTTGTACAAAGTATTCCTTCTGGGGCATCATTTGGAAAGTTATAATTTGTTGTGCATCCTTGTTCTGTCAAAATGTGTGTATTATCATCATTATATATGGAGTTATGAGAGTCTGCTATATGTTTGTCACTGAAAATACTGTGAGTCTGGGAAATGTCCACAGACTAGCCCCTCAGAGAGGGCAAAGAAACTGTAAACACAGAGGCCTTACACGCCAAGCCTCAAGTGGACAAAAGATATGAGCAAGAATTTTCTGTTCATGTGAAGGACAATGGGAAGCTCACGTAGGCCATGGGGGCTGCCTAACTCCATGATGCAGCATGGATTTTTCTAGCACCTGTAGAAAAGTATAAATGAGGGGCAGACACATCACTTCTCCTGCCTCTCCTCCTCCAATTCCACACAAGGAAGCCAGATCACTGGGGAGACAAAGAAACTCCATTGACACTATGGAAGGGGTTGGTCCTAACTAGGTGCTCCAGCTAGAAAGAACTGCTGTGAAGTTTGGGGTGAGAGAAATCCTTCTGCTTTTAATATTTAATTTAAAACCAGTGTGTTTCTGGCTAAAGTGTTTGGGGAATCTACTCAGGCTAACCAGAACTGGTGTACGATCAATTTCTTTGTCAAACTGATGAACCTTACGAGCTTGTACTGTTCAGTAAGTAACTGAACAGTACAAGATGGTACATTTCTTACTCCTGGGGGGATTCTGCGCTGCTGTAAATGTGCAGAATTTATGTGCCCCACAGATTTCTTTGCTTTCCCGCAGAAAAATGATTTTCTGATGGGGAAGCAAAGGGAAGCCACAAGAGCAGTCATGCGACCCTCCCCAGCAGTATGTTTTAGGTGCCCAGGGCAGCTGGCAGAGAGGTAAATCACTGTGGGGCTGGGGAAGACCTGGCTGGTGACTCCTACCCTGTGCCAGGCTCAGCTGCTAGTCTGGTTGAGCTGGGGAGGATGGGACTTCCTCTTCCCCCTCACAGCATCCCAGGTTGTGTCAGACCCACCCCTAGATTTCTTCCCCAGCTGTAGGAAGCTCTGCAAACTCCCCCTCACCCTGTGCATCCAGCACCCATCACTCCTCAGCTGCAGGTGGAGGGATCACATTACAGGGAGCTGCTCCTGAATCCGTCCAACCCCGTACATCCAGACCTCCTCATATCCAGACCCTCCCACTGAGCCTCACACCCCTACACCAACACCCCCCCCCCACGAGCCCCACTACCCCTGCATCTGGACTACCCCAATGAGCCACCTGCACCCAGATCCCCACCCTACCAAGTTACAACCAGCTGCACCTGGATCCCCACCCCACTGAGCCCCACTCCCCCAGCATTTGGAACCCCCCCTCCCCGAGCTCCCCACACCCAGACCCCCCTGCCTAGCTCTATCCCACACACACCCAGCTCTCCCTCTGCTGAGCCCCAATCACCTTCACCTGGACCCCCTGCAGAGTCTCATTACTGTTGCACCCAGAACCACCCTCCAACAAACCCCTGTGCATCCAGATTCCTCCCCCCTCAACACTCCCCCACTGAGCTGCCCACATGCAGATTGCCCCACACAGAACCCTCTCAACCCACACCTGCGCCCCCCACTTGGATCCTGCCTTGCTGAGCCTGCCTGCTCACACCTGGTGCATCTGGCATGGAGGGGCAGGGCCCTAGGGTGTTGCGTTGTATCAGAGTTGGGTGCAGCCTCATCGCTGAGTCCATGTCCCAGTGTGGGGGAAGAGAACTGCACAGTGATCTTCTACCTCTGTGCAGCCAGTGGCCTGTGCTGCCCAATGCCATGCTGGAACCTCCACATTTATTTGACAAACAAAATTTCCAGAATTTTGCAGAATTTTAAAATATTGTGCACAGAATTTTTAATTTTTTTAGTGGAGTATTTTTAATTTTTCGGTGCAGAATGCCCTCACAAGTAATTTCTGGGATGCAAGGCTGGGACCAGGGATGTGGAGGTTGCCCCATATGTAATTCAAGAGTGGCTGGTATATGGTATATGTCTGGGGGGTAACTTGCATGCTAGAGGCTGGGGGTAACTTGCATACTAGAGGCTGGGGGTGACTGGCCGCTCACACAGCAAAGCAGACCCTAGTGCACACCAGAATGGAGAATTAAGGGGGAACAACAATCCAACAGTCCAGATTGCATATTGTGGCATAGAATCATAGAATATCAGGGTTGGAAGGGACCTCAGGAGGCCATCTAGTCCATGTCACGCCCAAACCCCAGGCGAGTGCCCTAACCACCAGGCTATTCACTATTCTTGGGTATATTTCACTCAGTCTCTCCTACTGCAGTTGTTCCACTTTGTATGTATAAATAGTCACCAGGCCAGAGACAGAGAAACTGACTTCACAGCCTGATTTTTAGGACACTCATGCTGAGCCGATCACCAGTAAATCCCTTGACTAAGAATAATTTCCTAGTTACAGAGCAGCTGCCAACAGCTTATCCCCCGGCCCAAATCAATGCACCATTGCATGGTACCAAAACCATTGAAACAACACTTAGATAACTGGCGTTTTCATCTTACCTTAACTTGTAACTGGTTCTTTCTGCGTCCTCTCGGTTGTTTTTCTGAAAAAAACCAGAACATTCAGAACCCATACGCTTTCAGACAGAGACCACCTTGCCTGAGGTCTTGTCCATTTTTAGGAGAAAATGTAATGCTTTAATAAACATTCCTTATTCATTCAAGTGCTTGTAATTTTCTTGTAATAGCTAAGATTGCACCTTATCCTTTTCTTAGTTCACATTCCTTCTGAGGGAACAGAAAACGCATTTACAACATTTTAATAGAAATGGTCAGGAAAGCAATCACATTTTAAATATTAAAATATATTTTAATAACTCTACCAAATTATTATTAATGGCATTATTTCTACATATGGAACAGTAATACATTAACTCAACAATAATAGAAGTGCAAGAAAATTGCTCGGAAAATTAGAGTGCATTTGTATGGAATCTATATTGAAGTAATAATACAGAATGGAGCCCTATTTATTAGAAAAATCAAAGGTTTTTTTCTATTAGTCTACATTTTAGTATTAAGTAAATTAGAGATGGCTCAGACTAAAACTCTCGTTCTGAACTTCCCTCAATATTGAAAGTTTAGTCCAGGTCCAGCATTTGTGACAGGCTTTTAGCCCTTTAGTGGACTGAGCCAAAACCCTGTATCCAATCGCCCTCAACTATAGGGAAAGCTTGAATCTAGATTCAAAACTTGGTAAATCAGTCCCATCTATAACATACATTTATCTCTTCTGTTCCATGTCCAGAGGGTCATGGAATCTGTAAAAGCCTGCATGAATTAGGCTTGTGTTCTCAATGGTAATAGATTTGATTGTCCTATAACTGGTAACCTTGGTAAGAAACTGGAGGTATTGCTTTGAATTTATGTAAAAACTCTTAGGGGAATGAGGGAAGCATCTGTGAGAAGGGCCAATGAACAACTGTAGATAAGCAAGACAATGCAATGGCAGTCTCTAAACTAGCTGGAATGTTCTGCCATTTAAGATAGCTAGGCTAAGTTTTTGTTTTGTAAACATCTTTAGTAGAGTTTTGGTTTCATATAACCAAAGGCAGGTATAGTTTGGACTCAGATTTTGTGTCACCTGAACCACCAACTTTCAGGGGCAAGGCAGAAAATTGGATAAACGGTTCTGGTTTGGCCATATCTCTATTGCTGGAACTGTATCCTGCAAATCTTGGTGGTGGTCCAGGGGTCCCATCCCTGGTGAGGTAAACAACAAGGAGGTTAGGAAACCAAAACAATTTACCATTTTATAACTTGGACATACAGACAATTTCTTTCCAATAATTTTTTCTATGATCACAGAATCTATAACGTAACTTTCTCATTATTAGTGAGGCAGAGACAAGACAGGAAGAACTTAATCATATATGTATAGAAGAGACTGATCACAATATAATTGATCCTAATCTCTGTGAATCAATCTTACACAATTTATTTTTGATTTGGAAAATCTCTACTTTAGGTTTCAATTGAGCAAACCACTTAAGCACATGTTGATCTTTAAGAATTTAAGAAGCATGTTTCTTAAAATTAAACACATTTAAGTGCTTTGCTAAATTGGACTGGCACGTGCGTAAGCGCTTTGCTGAATCAAGTCCTAGATTTATACGCACCAGGCAATGCATGCTAAGAGGAATTTCACACATTGCACAAGCCTATCCAATTTTCATTCATTTATATTGTTATATTAATAATGCCCAGATAAAGAGGAAGATAAGGAGTCCAGTAGTCAATACAGCATTTAGTTCAATGCTTTAGAGCACTGATTATGTTCAGCTTTGAAATTAAAGTTTACAGCACTACATATTTTCTTTCCTCCCTCCCCTTTCTTTCTTAAAGCCACAGCCAGGGTCCATCCATAAGAAAACTACAGTAAAGATTCCTCTGACCGTAAACAGGAAGTTGTCAATTTGTCTTGTTTAAATTTCAGCCTCACACCTTACTATTTGCGACTTTTCAGAGCTGGAGAATGCAAGCTGTAACAGCCAACAAACCTTCAGCCAAAATGAAACTATGTTCATACACTTCCGCTCCTTTTCTTCACATTAATCCCAGGGAAGAAAACCCACAAGACCCAGCTAAACTCAGAGACCAAAAAAAAGCCCAAAACAATGAAAATCAAACTGCTATCACGGGTCAGACCAAAAATGGAACATCAGATGATATTGCTAAGCAGGACGTCAACTTCTGTTATACCCCCAAAAGATCTTAATAGCTGCCTTTGCCCCTTCGTAGTCTGTTGCTTCACAGGCAGCTTCTTCACCAAAACCTTTTTTGCTCCTGATTCAGGAAAGCATTCCTATTAAGGAAAGCACTTCAGCACATGATTAACAAAATGGACTTATGTTATAAGTACTTTCTTGAACTGGAGCAGTTATTTGTCAGATTCTTCCTGGAATCAGACCACACTGGAAATATGTATTAATACACTGTGTTTCTGCTGTAGGACTAGAACAGGTATATAAACAATATATCATTAGAACAGACAATTTCAACATTTACTTCATATCAACTTGAGTACACTGAATTGTTCTACTATTTCACATGGGTTTCTCTAAGTAAAAGTGGTGATTCTCCAAGGATCTTGGCAACTGTTGCAAGAAATTGTGCCAATTAGTGATTGCTTCCAAGAATTTAAAAATGGGTTCTCTGAAGCCAAGATAACAGATATCACATTCTTTTACTGGAACTAACTGCAGATTAAAATCTGTTTGGAAAGTAAATGATATTCTGTGTCCAACAATATTTTTTCCAAAGAGTTGCATTATCAGGCCCATTTCAAACTAGGCTTCGGCTCAGAGGCTTTTTTAACCTCTTGCATTGACTGTTAACCATCAGGGATGCGGTTCATGAAACCAACTGGAAAATCCCTTTGCATCCATATAGTTTTGCGATCGGCTTAGTATTAGATTTGAGAATCATATATGCTGAAGACAAGTCTTCAGCTATGTTCAATGCAATCAGTCTGTTGTAAGTAAGAATGCAAAACTAAGGGCTACTTTCAGTCATTACTATTATTTTATTAGTATTGAATAGCACAAGATAAACCTTCTGCCCTTTTTGTAGCTAACATTTCTAATGAATGAGTAAAGCCTCTAGGATCTTTTGAAAATCCCTGTGTGATAGAGTGGATTCTGGCTGGAACATGGTATATTAATACAGTGTGTTTGGAGTCCTTGAAACAGAGAAGGAATCCTGATGTTCCAAGAAGACTGGAAGGAAACTGGGCCAGTGTATGAAGTTTGGTGTTGTCAAGCACAGGAATACAGGGTAAATCTGCCCTTAAGGACAGGTATTTATTGAAATTTTATTTACATATGGAGGTGTCAAGCACAACTAGAGCGATTGCTCCACCAGCACAAACCTAAGTCTGCCCACTTGTGGGGAAAGGGTATTAAAAGATCCAGAAGAGTTTTATTTTCCTTCAGTGTGGATCTCAAGAAGACTAAATCTGAGGTAAATGATCAGATAATAGCAGGGTCTGTAAGGGAAGGTTCACCCCCAGTTTAAGGTTTCCTTATGAGCCTCCTTGGAGCTTACAGTGGAGATGTGCTGAATTAGCAACCTCTCTTAGTTGCCTTAGCTTTATCCCCTCCCCAGCAAGTACCTCTCACCTTTTATGGTTGTGCTGGCCCTCTTCAGCCCCATCCCAGTATTCCAAGAGTCGCAACTGGGGGGACTTTTCACCACTGGTGCACTCTGCCAGGATCTGCACCAGCAAGAGCCATCATATACGCTAATGAATTTACCTGCAGGAGTGGGAATCTTTAGAGAAGTTGTAACACACTCTAAAGATACACACCTTGTTTACCCACCACCTTCTCCACAATGTTTTGAATCAGTACTTTGTATTCTTTTTGTTAACTAGCAATTATCACTTGGTTCAACTACTCTCCAGACATTCAGTCATCCACAAACACATCACTTTATTTACTAAACTGCTGAACTGAAAATAACCAGAATTTATATTCATATTCACAGTTCGAGACAAAATTCAAATATTTAGATTCGTATTGCAAAAACAGCAGGCATTTTCCATGGGAGGTAGTTGATGACAATCAATACAAACTCTTATTAAGATTTCATTTTATGAATATAATTATATAATGCTCATAAGCATCTTTTATGGATGGGTACCTTTAGAGATCTCTTTAAAATATTTCATCACTATGTCTAATATGGTATTTAATAGTCAGTGCAGTCTTGTGGTTATATGATCTCAGACTAAGTCACCCATGGCAAATATCTCTAGTTCATCACTCAGTTTTCTTGTGATGCATTATTTCGATGCAGAAGAAAGTCATGCATCACTAAAATGTGTAAATTCGTTTGCCAATGCTCTACTTGCATTATAAATTAGTGACATTAGAATTCAGGAGTACCTGTTAGCTGTTGGGATTACTTGTTATTAAACAAGTGGAGTTTGAGAGAGTTTAAGCAGAGGTCTATATTGGTTTGACTGAGAAGAGGGTGACATTATAATTACAATCCTGAAAAACCATGAATTTATAAAAAATAACCAAACGTTCAAAGATAGATGTTTAGCATCTACCACCACAATTAAATACTGGGATTAGAAAAAGATATTTAAGTATCACTGAAGTTGTCAAAGTTTACTACAAATTGTTACTCGCAAAGTATTTTTGCTTTTGCCATCTTTTCCCTTCTGATTTAAATGAGACTTGATGCGGACAGCCTTTCTGAACTTCTCATAATACAATGCCACCTTGCTAAGTCATAAAATGTCTAAGTTCATAAGAAATTTAGTGAGATACTGTCAGTTTGAATTTGGCCAAAAGTTTGTAAAAGTAAGCTTTAAAAAAAAAACTGAAAAAAAATCTATGTTTTTTTTAATTAATGGAAACTGTTTTTAAATTAAAAAAAAGTACCCATCCAATGTGTGAAAATTGAATCACAGCATTGTGCCAAGTGAGAGAGAACTTGAAACTGAGCTAAATCTGTGAGCACAGTTTGTCTCACTGTTGCTGCACATAAGCAAGATAACACTGTTATGAACCTCAAAACAAGCTTTGTTGTA